ATCCGTGATCTACATATCATAATAATATCATGCACACATACCGCCTACAATAATAATAATAATAATAATAATAATAATAATAATAATAAGTCCAAATCATTCAAAACACTGGACGCCCGATCGCGTTTTATCATCGCGCACAATAATATTGGGATACGATATCATGACGTTATAATATTATAATATAGGACCTGTCTATTCGTCACACCGCGATCTCTGGCCGATGAAATGGCCGTCGCTGCAGTCCATACAACCGGGTCGGTATACACCGTATATACTAGTATGCCAACTCGATGGACATTTATGAAATTATTGTACACTACGTACGTACAACAGGCATCGTATACCGCGGTATACGCGTATCCTGCAGCAAATTAAAATGGGTTTTATCGTTCTGGATTTTCGTTTCAAAACATTAAAACGTACCCATAATATGTAATATTGTGTATTTATTTTACATATTCAGAGGACGTTATACCAGCATGCGTTGTCTCCGTCTTACAAGAGCGTAACATATCAAACTGTACGTTCAGCAGACCACGTTTAGCTCGGTTAGCTTAAAAATTAGAGTGAATCGACTTCTTATTAAAATCAAAGGTAAGATTATTACGGAGGCCTTCTCACGAGCTTTTGATTATAATATAATACTATTTCAATTAAAAACCAATTAGATAAGCAGCATAACAAAGCAAGTTTATTTATATGAATCAACTGCATGAACAAAAATTGTTTTATAATTTTGATAGTATAATGTGAGAGTGATTTCCAAAGGTTTAACTTCAATTGATCTTTACCTATGGCTGCGAGGAGAGATCACTCGAAGTTGAACCTGAATAAATTACGCTTACATTACTACGTACAGCAACAAAAAGGTTGCGGCCATCCTAATAAACGGCGCAGCAAAACATGCGCCCGACAAATCTGTTCGTCCTGTTCCACATCGTGCGAGCCCGCTTAGGATGGATGGGGAACTTCTGACCAGAGGCGTCACTGCATTCCCAAAGAGTTGCCGGTTCCTGGGTGACCACTAGTTCGACATTTATATGTATATTGAACGCTGAGGACCATCGACCCTGCCCTGAACATCCTCCTGCAAATTCGCATAGCTCCCAGACTTTGGGCGAAGTTGCCGGAAGTTCCAGCGCCGGCTGCACGGACGTACACGATGAGGTGTCAATTCCGTTCTGAGTATATACAACTCGGAGTTATATCGATGTATCTTTTAGTCTTAGTTAACGTCAGTTCACACATTATATAGCTCTTGGTGTATTTCCAAATGTGGTTAAAATTATTTTTTCTTGAGTTATTAGAACAACCTCTGAAATGTTTAGGATATATTTTGATTCTTCGAGGCCATCAACGCGACGATATGATTTCTGGTTTTACCTCATCTGCCTGAATAACTAAAGGCAACCATAAATATATAAAAAAAAAACTTATTTTTAATTATATTTCTACTACAACTATAATATTATAATCTATAACCAAAGGCAATCGTTTATAAACAAAAAAAAAATAATTAGTAGCTAACTACTAACTCGATATTTTCCCTCTCCGAGGAAAATTGAGGAATTATATATATATATATGTTTTTATAGTTGATTTGCGTTTCTATGGCAATAGAAATCGGTTACCCCCTAAATAGCTGTTAAAATTTCTGAAAATAGGCAACAAATCATATACTTTATGGTATCTATACACACAGTTAAATCTTATATGGTTTTTGGAAAGTAGCCAATTATACCAGCAATGTGCAATTAATATATAGATATTATTACTAATTAGAGTATGACTCATTCAAAGATCACAATAACCTATCAAAGTTTAAAAGACGTAGGTCATCTTATGGAGTAAAACAAAAACCATATTTGTATAAATTATATAACTAGTATTATCCTTATTAGCTTAGCACATTGAAATGAATGGATAATTATTAAGATGAATGTACTTATTATTATAATTTAACACTTATCGTATATTGTAACCTGTTCTTTTCCCAAAAAATGACTTCATTGTTAAAGCCGTAATAATATTTAAAAAAAAAAACTATCTTCGTCCGTATAATAAAATTGGGTACTAAAAATATGGATAGTTTTTTAATATGAAAATTGGTGAAATGATATTTACTATACCTGTTCCCGCATACTTACAGTACATTACCTATGACAATTTATATGCAATTTTATAATTAAAGTCCATCTGCAATTCAATTGACATGTATATAAATAAATATATATTATGCGTCGTGACGTTTGCTTAACACGATTTTAAAACAATCGTCCAGATCTCCGTTGAATCCCGGTTAGTTATCGGGGTAATTCGTTGTAGGGTTATTCTAGCATAGATCCTAGCCTGCGAGTCGGTTACTATGGCTGTACACACAACGGATATTATTATATACCGATCTAACGTGTCCTGTACGAACGGGTCGAACAAGTGGTTTCATTAACTATGACAAATGCTATTTGTTTCACTTGGATAATTATATTGCCTGCGCGGAACCATAACATTCAAATCGATCGTATACATAGTTAGGCATACAACCATGTCACTGTCTCGATGGCGTTTGACCATTTGGCTGGTATGTTGGTCGGCTGTCGGTGCCATATACTGCACCGACCGGATTTTTCTACAGTGATCACTCAAGTGGGATGTAGGTCCCTCGGAGCCGATTACATCGTTTTTAGTAATTTAACCGAACCGAAATGTTCGTTAGAGCCGTTAGAGGTGTCATTTTGTCGTGTCCCCGCCGCGGTCAAAACTCGCCACACTAAAAACACGCGTCACATATACATAGGTACCGTATATAGCCATCGACATCCGACCACCTGTAGAACGTGGCTCACTATGCGTGTGTGTTTGTGTGTACATAACATTATACATCAATATGACTTAGATGTGATTATTTTAAAGGTGTACATTCAATAGTTTTTACCTAGTTTGGTGAACCTATACTACAACGTATATAGTGTATCAGGGTTGGGCAAATTATCAAAAAAAAAGTAATTAATTACAAATTACAAATTACTCAAAATACCAGTATTTAATTACAAATTACTAATTACATGATTGTAGAATATTTAATTACAAATTACAAATTACATAATTGAATTACTTAAAATTACCAATTACATTTAAAAATTATTTGTATCAAAAAGTGTATAAATTAAATCAAAAAAACAAAAAAACATTAGAAAAATATAGGTACATAGAAAATTAGATGATCCCATAATTTTGATTGCCTTTTAAAAATACTAGTTTTTCGAATTGTTCGTCAGACAAAATTAATAAATAATTGTTTCACAACAAGATAATTGCTTAAACATGTAAAACTTTTATTTTTGTCGTTAAAAAATTGCAATATCTGTAATAAAATAATCTTTCAGTATCGCTACAAATTACTAACCATTACATTTATCAGTAGATAGAATTGATAGAAACATAAACTTTGAATTGTGCAGTTCAATTTTAAATTTATACTAGAAAGTAATTGTTGGTAATTATAAATTACTAATTACACAAATATTATGTAATTAATTATCAATTACAAATTACATCAACATTTTATAATCAATTACCAATTACAAATTACTGAAGTAATTGAATTACTGTAATTGAAAAGTGCCCAACCCTGTTGTATATACTGTATGGCATACAGAGTATGTAAAGAGGTAGGTAATCTGGTACTCTTCAAAATAATGAACAACGTTTTTATAATTAATTGACTAAGACAAAAGGTGACAAAATGTTAAAAAATCCATCTGTTTAAAAATCTATAATGATAATAATAAATGATAATAACAGTAAGCGATATAAAAAACCAAAATTTTGTTGAGTATCATGCATATGTACCTTATTACTTTTTCTACGCGATGAACCCAATAACGAGGGAATATAAAAGTTATAACAAAATATGAATATTTATGTAAACGCACGTGCATTGTCTTATTTAATCATTAAAATCATTCACGCACTCATGCTGTTCAGACTGTTAGAGTGTATATTATAATATGTACCTATGCGTATAAGAAAGACGTAAATTCGTTTTATTATCGATTGTTTTATTTTTATTAGGATCAGATGATTAAATGTATTTATAAATACCATTAAATAATGAAGAATGAATAACGCTCTCCTCTGACATTTGTAAACAATAACTGAAAAAAAATAAAATATTGTAATTAAATTGTTATTAAGTTTCATATCTTTAAGCCAGACATAGTTTGCATTTAGGTATTGAACTCGTATAATAATAACATTGTACATTTTCACTGACATTCTGCTCATGTACTAGTTGGGTGAATATTTTTGTTTTCAAATGCTTTTAGAGACGAAATTATTAAAATTGTTTAATGATATATACAGTGATACTATGCAGTAATTTGATTATGATATTATATCAACACCATGTAAAGATAAACAAATAAGACAACATAGATGATTGACTGATCATTAATGTATAAAAAATGATTTAATAAATAATTAATAATAATTTGCATATTAATATTTCATCTATGTGTTATGTGCTTTGAGAAATTAATTACAAAACACGTATTATAAGTATAAGCCTATAATAGGCTTATTATAAATATATGTAATATTTATAAATATTAAGTCTTATTAGCTATTGTACATTTTTTATAATGAGGTAATAATATTTGCCTGTTGTACCTGTGTAATAAATGTAATAATAATATTATGTAATAGCATTTGATATTCGGTATTAAAGAAATGTAATCACTACATAATGTATATATGTACCTATTGTACCTACCTATCAGTTCTTACGGCTTTTAAACACATAATAATTTGTAAGATTGCTTTGAAAAATGATAGAAATGATTACAATGAATTAATAATATGTGCATAATTAATATACTAGCAATAGTCTGTATTAGGTACTTTATATTTCTCAAATGAATGTATAATAGTATAATAATACTTCAAGTAATTTGAATCTTTTGGTTGGTAGTTTCCTGTTGCATTAAAATTATTACTTATTAAGTACATGAGAACCGTGATGTCTTTTTCGATTTAATTGTTGATCCAATTGCAGTTTTTGGTTCATTTTTATTGTTTTCGTCAAAATATGACATGTACTTTTGATTAATATCTTTTATTTTATTTTTAAACTGTTCATGAGTACATTCATTACATCGTGTATTATTATCAATTTGCTTGTTAGATATACTGCAGCATAAATTGTTAGTGTAATTTTTTCCATGATTTGGTTTGTTTTTTCTTCTGCATGGACTGATGTCATTGACATCGGAAGACATTTTTTCTTCGCCTGAGCCTTTATATTTTGTACGTTTTTCAGAACATGTCATATGAAATTGTTGAGTTTTCTCACATTTTCTACTGCCGTCATCTTTGCTATAGTTGGATTGTGTTTCTATCATTTCAGGTATTGATTGTTTTCCACAGATACAAATGTATGAATAGTTACATTCTGATGATTGAACCTCATTTTTAGCTTTGCATAAAATGTCTTCGATTTCTTTTAAAAGATTGCAAACTTTATTTAGTCTAGTTTTTACTTCTATTGATACTTGTTCAGTGTTCATCGTTATTGCTTTAAAACCTTGAATTCAAAATTGGTATAACTGTTAACAAAAATTTAATTCCAACTGTACTAGCAATATTATTTTGTATTTCGTTTAGTAAACCTAAACTAAGTGTGTACATTTAATAAAAAAAAATTACATAAATTACTTGTGTTGTAAATTGTAATAAATTAAAATAAAAGGAACATTTTAATTGGGAAATTTTTGTTTGTTTATGCGAGTTTGATATATTAGGTTATGTCTAGCCACGTATTATAATTGTCAGGTGTCAAATGTCTTAGGAGATTTTAGTCGAAACTGGAAATAGTAAGGTTCGAAAATCGTATTTATAATACTCGTCTGCATAAATGTGCCTATATAACCGAAAAATTACTTAATGTAATATTGATCGCGATTTGTGATACCTGCAATGGTATTATAGAATATCGTAACATTGTATAAAGAGTAATAGGTAATATTAGCTTACATCATAAATATACAATTATTTTGATTATTAGTTTTTGCTATTGGCAACCAATAAATAATAATATACACGTATACATAATATAATATTATATTACACGAGTGGAATACTGTATGACTTACGTCAAGTTGCGTGATGTAAATGGGCGTGATGTATATAAAAACGACCACACAAAAATCATAAGAAAACGTATATATTATTTTATATTACTGCAGTGAAGTACTAAATTATAATAATAATAATAATAATAATAATATGTCTTTTATATTATTATTGAGCGTGGAAATCGTAAATTTCTTACAATCGATTTTGTACAGTCTTATTATATATACCTATAAAACTATTAATCAATAAATAGATAATATGTATCTATGTACCTGCATACATTTTTATTTGATCATTACATTGTAACTATTATTTGGTATAGGTAACGACTCTATAGGAGGTAATTTAGGTAATTGCCATTAACCAGCTGTGTACTCAGGATCGGTTAGTTGGGTTAGGTAAACACGGCACCTCTGTCCGTGGGAACTGTCGTTGAAAAGACAAAATTAACACGTTTTCGCTGCTCATCTTTAAATAATAATAATACGTTTTACGACTTTTCGGGCAAATATTGATTTTCAGTTTGCTGACATTGAACAAATGACAGATAAGTCGGTCTTCAACACCAAAGAAACGTTTCCGCTGCATTATGTTCGATGTTTTATTTTCGTGTTATAATGGTTAAAGCTGTGAAATAAGAATAAACGTAAACAACAAATAAAACAATGCAACTACGTTTAAAATTGAAATGATATTGTTTTATAACGAAAATTTTATGATGATCGTATCGTAATCGTTATTTTCTTTTGAATATTGTTCACTATTTTTACCCATTTAGGCTCCACATTACATGAATAATGTTCAATTTAAAATGTAATGATTATGTGAGCCTATACAACTAAATCAGTAATTTTAACTTTAGGTGTATAACATTTTCAATGAATCCAAAAACCGAACACTTTGTAATTATACAATTTAAAAAAATATTTTTAATTGTTAAATATTTTATTAATTATTTAATTTTGTTAAAAAAAATTATAAAATACCTTCAGCTTTAAGTACTCATCAAAATAATTAAGTACATGTAAATAAGAATTCAATCTTTTTTTACTTGTTGCAATAACAACTTTTTGTTTTTCATCAGTGATTTTGTCATTTTGGATGGTAATAGAATATTACAATTTAAATCAAAATGTATGGCTTGTTCCAAACTTTTCGATAAACTTGGTAAACATTTTTGAAGTTTATAAATAATGAATTATAATAAAGCACATCTATTCTGCACATTTAAAAAACAATGTTATCTTCAATCGACCTTTTTAGAGCAGAAATTATAAGTGTGTGGTTTTTGGATGAAACCAAATTTTACATGGGTATAGATTTTATAGATAAATACTTAAAATATAGCTATACACAATAGCATTTAATCTATTTTTATATAATTAACTATGGTCATAATGTGTAATGAGACATTTAATAGTCTTACGAGTATGTTAATAGCGGTTGATAATATATTAATTTTATTAAGATAATAGTAATAATACCTATTTTTTTTTTTTTTTCATTAGCTTTTAGTAAAAAACTATAATAGCTCGACAGTTAATACAAATAATATATGATACCTATTTATATTTAATAATTGTTGAGCTATAATAGTTACACTAGAAGCTAATAAAAAAGAGAAATATATTAATAATTATAACAATGCAAATTATAGACTGCTATTTAGAATGATACTGTACTATATGTTATGTAGAATGATTATAAAGTAATAAATTATGTATAACTATAAGTATAGTAAGTATACCAACTGAACGCGTACATAATAATATAATGATTATTGATTATTTATTTATTTATTTATTTATTTATTTATTTATTTATTTATATATTTTATTAATTATTCATATTCAGTAACAAGATCGACTTACAGTCGACCAAGTTTTAACTTTTAAGCGCTGTTAAAGTGGTGGACGTGTATGGTTGCATTGAATTATTATGAATATCCTATGATTTTATAAAACCTAGTCAAATTTTGAAATTTTCGTCAATTTTCGACCATTTTATTCATGTCTTTTTTTTTAAACTTGGAAGTGACTATTGTAGATATTCGCTCCTTATGAACCAGTTGCTAGCTAGCCAAACACATTATTTTGAAATAATTTAACTTTTTTTGATGCGCTCAGAGATTTATCGTTTAAGTATCTTATACATAATCTGATTGCAATTTTGCACTTTTCATGCCAAACTGTTTATGGTATAAAGGTGCATTTAGATGAATATTAGTTGTATAACGCGTATTATAAATATGATCAACATAAACAGTATTATTTTTGGATTTATGAAAACAGAGTTATAAGTTCTTATAATACAAATATTTAATATTAAGTAGATTCAAAACATTGTATACGAATTCATCATAAGTAATCCTTGGTAAATAGAATATAAATTTGATTACATTATTTAATGTAATATTTAAAGAATGAATATGAGACGCGTGCGTTCGTCCCCAATAGACAATACCACAGCATAATATAACAGATCGAACTAAAGGTAAACAAATGGTGTAACATATTATTATTATAACATCAGTGTAATGGGCTCGTAATTAATATCGATTATAGTAATAATCATTACTCGTACCTATAACGTAGCCCCTTAGGTGCGGATAAGGCTGCGGAATTGAATACGCAATTCCTTATTCCTTTTGAAGGGCAGGAGCAGCTATATTATATTGTCGTTGTCCAAAACCATACGCCAATGTCACATCGTCGTGCGATTAATGCATAGATAACACCATATTATAATATAATAGACACAATGTATAATATTAAACGTACCATTATAATATAGAAGTGACGACATGGCTTATTTACTTGTCGTCGTGCCATGCCTGTGCGCGACTTAGGCGGCGGCTCATAGGGGGTCTCATAATATAATATTATACTATGCATACGTGACAAATGGCTGCCAAACTGGTCTCGCTCGTCGCTCGTATTATTATTATTATACACGTTATATACACGATCCTCCGAGGACTGCATTCCGACCGGGTCCGCGAATAATAATATGTCGCGCATGTGTGTAAGTGTCTCTTTGTGCTTGTGCGAAATGTGTCGTGTGATGTGATATGTGTGTGTGTGTGTGTGTGTGTGTATACTGTATAAGAGTGCTAATGCAACTCGAGTGCATAAAAATTTTTATTATTATTATTGCACTATTATAATATCATGGTGGTTTCGGTGAATATTACAATATTATATAGTAATAATACGCTGTACCGTACGATTATGATTTAAAATGTTTAGTGCGTGTAAGCATGTGCACATTATTATTATAATATTATTATGTATACCGCACCGCATATTTGTCATCGTTATAATTTAATATTATCATGTAGGTACTACCGCAAACGTCTATAACTTTTGTTTATTATTACGATTAGTATATCATTTCTCGCCCACCCCGCCCTGCCGCGCGTTATATACCAGCTGCTACCATCGGACACCGACCGCAAACCGGGTACAAGACTATTAGAGTGTATAGTCCATATACGTATAATAATATTATTATAATAGCCGCGCAGTGATGTGTGGGCAAAATCGTCGCGGCCGCCGTGCGTTATACGGGACCCACACGCTCGGCAAAAAAAGTGCGGCGAGGTCCGTGTCGTTGGCTACAGTTTTTTATTCGTTTCTTTTCGGCCCCGTGTTGCTGATGCAGTGTATATAATAGCAATATCATAACAATATTGTAACAGACGCAGACGCGATTATTCATCGCGCGCGCCGGTGTTGTCTAAATATTTGGATCGCGTGATCCGAGTGAAAAGCCGTGGTGGTGTACACATACCGTGTGTGCGTATAAAATAAAAATAATAATAAATAAATGTCGCGATCACGATACAGGCACCGTGCACATTATAATATTATACACGTACTGCAGTGTATCACTGCCACCGCGATTTTTTTCTTCTCTTTTTCTTTTTTTCCCCCTTTTTTTTATTGGCCACCGTCACGCGCTCGTATTATAATATAATATATGTGCTCTTATGATATATTCGTATTAATACCTACTTACACCGTAGTTCTACACGTGTATACATACGCGATAATAATAATAATAATAATAATATATGTTTCACGCACAAGGCTACCGGAAAGGGCCACGCGGGACGTCGCCACTTCTGATGGGTTTATCGTCCTACGACGACGACGACACGGCGGACGGTGCAGGTCTCATGCGTATTATTATTATTATTATTATTATTATTATTATTATTATTATTATATAGGTAGGTTGCCGACACGCCAAACCCGCCGCAAGTCGTCGCACTGCCGAATAGGACTGCGTCACGAGAGGTTTTCTGTTCGAGAGCCAAATATAAATTATTTACCGTTCGCATACGTATGTGTGTGTACACATAATATTATTATAATAATATAATGCATACCAGTGTTCACCGTTTTCATTTAGATCGCGTCCCACGATATATGGTCGCGCGTATATTATAA